GCAGAGGCTCACGCCTGTAATCCTAGCACTCTGGGAGGCCAAGGCAGGCGGATTACTCAAGGTCAGGAGTTTGAAACCAGCCTGAGCAAGAGTGAGACCCCATCTCTACTATAAATGGAAAGAAATTAATTGGCCAACTAATATATATATAGAAAAAATTAGCCGGGCATGGTGGCACATGCTTGTAGTCCCAGCTACTCGAGAGGCTGAGACAGAAGGATTGCTTGAGCCCGGGAGTTTGAGGTTGCTGTGAGCTAGGCTGACACCATAGCACTCACTCTAAGCCTGGGCAACAAAGTGAGACTCTGTCTCCAAAAAAAGAATAACTACATCAACAACCAAAATGTTAATTAAACAAATCACTCAAAAATATTTTCAGATAAACACAAAAGTTCCTATAATTTAGAAGAATACAAAAAAGGACAATTCCAAGACTAAAACTGCAGTCATTCAATTAAACAACATTAATTGGTCAATTAAGAGAGACAGGTTGAATAAGCTATAATGACATATTACACAATGGAGTGCTACCACTGAAAAGAACAATGAGGAGTATCTCTATGGTCCACTAAATAGTAATCTCCAGAATAGACTGTTAAGGGAGAAAAGTAAAATGGAGAAATAGGCATGCGATATTCTATCATTTATCTACAAAGATGGGGTAGTATTAATATTTATTTTAAATAATACTTGTATTAAAAAGCAAACTGGGATAGAGTATAAAAATTTTCTTAAGGGATACTGCTAGGGTATGGGATGAAACAGAGTGGTAGAGCAGGTATCAACATTGAAACTGGTATTTTATATAAATTATAAAATAAAATTAAATTTAAAAAAGTAAACTCTCAAGTGAATTCAACACATAGAAATTTGATGAAATATTCTATGTTGGATACCCTAGGGACAAAAAGAAATGCCCAAAAAAAGAAGACAAAACCCTCAAAAACAAAACTACAAACTGTTTTCAGTAATTATATTGTTGCTGCTGGTGGTATTATTATACTCAGTCTAATGTATGTGTAATATATGATGAAGCCAATCAGTAATTATGTGTTATTGTAAACCTACAGTTCCTGGCAATGAAGTGAGGGAGAGAGAAATAGTGGTACAAGACAGAAGAGGTTAAAGAAAAACACCTTGGTGCCAATTTTGAATTGGGAACAATGACCAACCCAGCAGCAATGAGCACTCTTGGCACCCCTTATAAGGAACAGGGCTCTGTGGAGAAATGGGGATTCCAGACCTTAAGTAGGAAATGTAAAAGATGAGTCTGGAGCATCTTGTAATACCAGAAAGTAGAGAAGCTTTTAAAGACCTCTTTATTTGGTCACGTCCAAAGGTCTTAGAAGCCAACTTGGAGAAACTCTAATTGTCAAAGATGGTACAACCTGCTAATTGATAAAGATAACAATTGCAATGGATTGAAACACATCAATATGTTCAAATGCATGAGCTCCTAAAGTTACTTAAACCACTAAAAAAAAAAATTAGTTCCAATTGAAAACAGATAGTGAGCAAACTTATTATTTAAAAAACTAGTATATACAGGGAAAAAATAAAGAATATATACTATCTTCTCTATAAAAATTATACTGGGGTAACCAAATAGTAGATGTGGAAACATTTCTTTTATAAAAAGATTCCAGCTAGTAAACGAAAAGGAATGGACAAAAGAAAAATGGCTGCCATTATAAAGCTCTTATGCTTTCATCTAATTATTTCTTCAGTCAGAGAACTTGGTTTTCAATGCTGTGCACATATAATTCAAATCCACAACTTAGTTATAGTTTATAGCTATAGAGCTACAGCTATAACTAAATGATAGTTCTAGATTAGAAGAATAAATTTCATATATTTCTTGGGCTCTAAAATCATTTGCCTTTCCTCATATGTCCAAAGTCATACTATTCAATTTTACTTCTGATACATAGCCAATGATACTAATACTCTAATTTTAGAGAAGAATATACTTTGATGTGAACTGTCATAAAATTTTATTATACTGCCTATATTAGTTTGCTAGGCTGCCATAACAAAATACCATAGACTGGGTGACTTAAACAATAGAAATATATTTTCTCACAGTTCTGGAGCCTAGAAGTCCAAGATCAAGGTACCAGCAGGTTTGCTTTCTTCAGAGACCTCTTTTCTTGCCTAGTAGATCGCTGCCTTCTTGCTGTTTCTTCATATCATCTCTTTCCTCTTCATGTGAGGAACCCTGGTGTCTCTTTTTGTGTCCAAATGTCCTTCTCTTATAAGAACACCAGTCCGAATGGATTAGAAATCACTCTATCGGCCTCATTTTAACTTAATCATCTCTTTAAAGCTCCTTCTCCAAATACAGTCACATTCTGAAGTACTGGAAGTTAGGGCTTCACCATATGAATTTTAGGTGACACTATTTTAGGTGACCATAATGCTGCTGATTGAGCACACCAAAGGAAAAGAATGATATTAATGCATACTTTTTAATATCTGACAGGATACAGAGCAGGTGCTTAAATATTTATTAACTTAACTGCATGATTTTTAATACATGTTAAACAAAGTAATTAATATTCCTAAGAATGAAAAACTCACAACAGTACATGTTCTTAATAAAAATGAGAATAATATGAGGTTCCCCAAGCTCACCTTATTTTTTTGTCCTTCCTTCTACTTTACAGAAGGGACATGATTATACAACCTCTATTTTTAACTTTACCCTAAGACTTCTACCCTTTCTAGGGTAAGGAAGGGTTTCAACTTTCAGGTAATTATATTGGGGAAAATGTGAGACAACTGAACCACAATATGAAGGACCATAGTTCATTTATCTATTCACTTGGCTTCTGCTAGGCTACAGACCAAATGTAATATTATTAAATGCCTAGAAATGAATCTATCACCTCATATTCTTTGTTCTACTATCTCCAACGGAGATAAAAAATTCAGAACTCAATGTATCCTAATCATGCTCACGTTCTCAGAGTAAATTAATCTGGGCTTGATTGCTTGTTTCAGAGGGATGAATTAGTACTAGTCTGTGTGCATAATACAGTTGGCAAAGAAGCATGTGCATAATTAACATGTTAGATAGAGATGCTGAAGAATCAGCCAGGAACATCAGACAGGCTTCCTGTAAGAAGTAATTGTTACATAAACTGTATCCTGAGAGTTTAGTAGAAGCTGGTCAAATAATGCAAGCAGACAAATAAACCACTATGAGGAAAGATACACTGATATAAACCATTAGGAAATGTTGAGGAACTAAAAGTAATCCAGTATTGACAGAGCGAAAAATGTGAAATAGAATGCCATATGAGAAATAAGAGCTCAGGAGAAGCTGGATCATCCCCATTATATAAATAATGAATCTTAAATCATAGAGACTAAGTAGGTTGCCAAGGGCACAAAACTAGTGAATAGCAGAACCAGGATTTGCAACAATTTTTTTTCTTGGGACAGGGTCTTTTACTCTTTTACTCAGGCTAGTGTGCAGTGGCCTGATCATAGCTCACTGCAGCCTCAAACTCTTGGGCTCAAGCGATCCTCCCCCCTCAGCCTCCACAGTAGCTGGGACCACAGGTACACATCATCATGCCTGGCTAATTTTTTAATTTTCTGTAGAGACAGTGTCTCACTATGTTGCTTAGGTTAGTCTTGAACTCCTGGCCTCAAGGAATCCCTCCGCCTCAGCCTCCCAAACTGCTATGACTACAGGCCACCATGCCTGGCCTAAATTTAAATCTAAAATACTTCAGTTAGCAGAGGGATCATATGCCCCAGTTTTCCCAGGTCATCCCTGGTTTGTAATTATTGACTCTACATCATTATTATTAGAGCCTTCTTTCTCCCCTATAAAATGTGATCTGGGGCATAGCTTTACCCTATCTCTTAAGCTATCATGCTGTATTTTTTTATACCCAAGAAAATGAGGGTTTAACTTCTCACTTATTAGTGAAATTAACTGCTGAAAAAGATTATGCTGATAAAAACAATTAGGCATTCGGAAGGGTTTTGGGCTATGACCACCTTAACAATTAACCTAGTATACACTAGAGTTAAATTGCCTTTTATCAAAACATTGTCAGTCATAATTGTAAAAAAGATTCCCAGCTGACAGAAAGAGCAAAAAGGAAAACTCATCATTCTTCTAATTGTAATTTTGTTCAAAGAAACTATGGATTTAAACACTTCAGTTATAACTCAGCCATAAATTCAAACTGCCTATGAGAAAGGTAATTAGATTACAAAACTCTAGTCAACCTTGGCCAAAAAAGATCACTTTTGTTTATACAAGTCCTGTGAAACACATATTCCATAAACCACCCTCCAAAAAATAAAAATAGTTGCCCTACCGATAATATTAACAATTGTAAAAAATTGCTTACTCTTCCTCATACCTATTTACTGGCATGTAACAAGCTGAATATGCCAGATATTTACTTTTCCCAGCTAGGACACAGAAAAATGACCAAGCCCAGGCCAATATAAGTCTCTTTAGGGGAAGTCTTCGGCAATCAGAGTCCTCTCTATGAAAGGTTTTCCTCCTTGATAGACACAGAATATGGAGAAGATATTTTCCACCCCCAACGTAGTTTTTACTTTGCTTTTGGATGTGGATAAGTAAAAACAGAATTATGGAGTTGTGGCACTCATTTTGTGACCATGGGGGAGGGGAGGGACAAGGCTAAGTATAAAATCCATTCTGGGACATTCAAAAGAAAACACTGAAAGGTCCCAGACCCTTGCTGACACCAATGGACAGCTTAATCAATCTGAATGCCCTTCCTCCTAACTACATAGTACCCTATTTAACAAGTACCCTTATTCTTTAGGTCATTTTAAATTGGGTATTCTGTTACTTGCAGCTAAGAGCATCCCAAGTGATGATGACACAATGCATCTATGACCCAATCAAGTGTATGGAAGGAAATTATTCAGGACGATTATCATTGCTTTTTCAAATTCAGAAGCATGAATAAAAAAAGGAAATACAATGATTAAACACCTAAAGACAGAGGTTGAGTTTTCATTTTCCCAGAGTAGATAAAAAAGATAATGGCCAAAAAGTTAATACATACTGAGTATTTCCAGATACTGTGCTTGATGAATTAGCTTAATTGTCAAAACAAACTTAGGAAACATTATTTCCATTTTATAGAGGAGAAAGCTTAGGCTTAGAAAAGTTAAACAACTTGCCAAGGTCACACTCCTCAATAGTGGTTGAGAAAGCATTCATAATCCACAATTCCCTCCAGAGTCTAGTACCTAATCTTTGTGTACAGCTAAAGATAAAGGCACATATTTTTTTCTATGAAGAAGAAATCTAAGTCTTCAGCTGAGCTTCATAAGTACAAAAAGAAGGTACAGAACTTCAGAAACATGATTATAAGTGGGAACAACCACTGCTGTTTTACAATGGCAAAAAGACTTCCTCAGTTTATACGTAAACCAATCTATGCCCAAAAAGAGGAAACAAATTACCAAAAGATGTACTGAAATTGGTAGTAGTCAGTAATAAAACTCAAGTAACTCAGATCTTTCAATTTTCAAGTTAGGGCACTTTTTATTTCACCATACACTGTTTCCCCCTTGAAACTCACATAATGTATCTCCAATACACATGGAGAAAAAAGCAAAATGTACAAAGAGATAAAACTATGAAGGCTTACTAAGAGATATTTACAGTGTACAATTACCATTTTCAATATTAATTAGTTGATAAGCTTTGATGTAAGCAGAAAGGCCAAAAAACTTTATGATGTGGATACACAGTAAAAAGAAAAATTAATGAAAAAATTATTTTTTCAGGGTATCTATACCTGTTAAATGCTTCAAGAATCAGATTTTCTTATAAAGTACACACACATTCAAAGTAGTTGAGAATACAGTGAACTTTTTCATTTCTCACTGAACTTTCTAAAAAATATATTTTTAGAAAACAGTCTTAAAGAACTAAGCAAGCTGACTAAAGGAGAACTATGTATCATATTCTCTCTATAGCAGGGTAATCCAACTGAGAATTATTGTTAATTTCACCTAACAATTCATGATTATTTAGGAATGCACTAGATTCCCAAATATTAACCCTGAATCACTTGACAATGCTCTAGATATACTCAAAAGAAAAAAAGATGGGAATACAGAATGTGTACAATTATTAATATAAAGTACTAAAGGCCAAAGAAGGTAGGGAGACAGGAGAAGCTGGGGAGACAGGAAGAAGATCTGATACTGAGAGATTCAATATTTAGATTTTTAAGAACCACTTACTCTTTTTTCTCAGAAAGCATAATTTTCATGAATTAAGGTAATATATAAGAGTTCACTCATTTATCTTTAACTTTTCTATGAAATCTTAGGTCTCTAAAATAGTATTAGGATAAAACCAAAACACAGAACTGGCTTACTCTGCAATATCGAGATATCCACAGGAAGCAGCTGCGTGTAGTGGTATCCAGCCTTCATTATCAGGTTGATTAATATTTGCTCCATTTTCTACCAGAAACTTCACCATATCAACATTGTCATCAATGCAAGCCTAAAAACAAAACAAAAAACATGATTGGAAAAAATCTGAATCAACACCCCAAATAATACATCAATAGAATAAAATTCCTACTTTGTAGTGTTTTTTTTTTTTTAAGAGACAGGGTCTCATTCTTTTGCCCAGGCTGGAGTATAGTGATACCATTACAGCTTACTACAACCTTGAACTCCTGGGCTCAAGCAATCCTCCGCCTCAGCAGCTTCCCAAAGTGCTGGGATCACAGTTATGAGCCACCACGCCTGGTCAGAAGCTTTTATAAATACTCTCTACAAATTCATCTTCTGCTATCTTGACTGTACTGTCATCAAGTAGGCCAATGATACCAACTAACTTGTAAGAGTCCTTGCTTAAACACACATACAACAGTACTGCATATAACTAGACTCTTTATGGCAACCCAATTAGCAAAACAAGCACATATTAAGTGAAAACAATCAAAACATTATAAGTAAGTACCAATAATATTCTCCATAACATTGGACCTCAAAGAGTGATCTGTTGGAAGGAGGGGGAATGCAAGATCCTTTCAGGGAGTTGACAAGATAAAAATTATTTTCAAAATAGCACTGAGATGTTATTTCCCATTTTTACTTTATTGACATGTGCACTTGATGGGTCAAAAGTACTAGTCGTAAAATTGCATGTGTCTTACCACCACACAAGGCAGTGGCAAAGAAACCAACCACCAAAAACCTCTATTAACAGTCACTGTGTTGACCGCTATACACTCAGTTTTTAAAAGCTATTTTTACTCATGAATGTCCCTGAAAAGCTGTATTTATTAAGTTCTGACCCCTTATACACATCTCTTTAGTATTCTGTGGAATAAGATAAGAAATATGTGTTAAAGCACTTCTTCCAAGAAAGATGATTGTTTTGAGAAAAAGCACTTGTGGGACTGAGTTGGCATGGTGAACTACCGTGTTTCCCCAAAAATAAGACAGGGTCTTATATTTATTTTTCCTCAAGAAGACATCCTAGGGCTTATTTTCAGAGGATGTGTTATTTTTTTTAAGTACGGTACAACAATCTACATTTATTCAAATATAATTAAGTTGTCTTCTTCAGGAATATCATCATAACTCTCCAAACCCTGAATTCCATCCTGAATTTCTTGCAACTCTATTTCCTTTAGAACCATTGGCCCCAATCTCTCATGTCAAGCAATAGAGCTCTCATGGGGCAGATGAGAAGGGCTGCTCGTTTCGCTTACCGCTTGGCGATGAAATGCATGGGTTGTGGTGCACATATGCTGCGTAGCCACACCCATCACTAGGTCTTATTTTCGGGATAGGGTTTATAGTGTGTAAATGCTTAGAAATCCTGCTAGGGCTTATTTTATGGGTAGGTCTTATTTTGGGGGAAACCTTTCCATGGAATAGTATTTCCACTTGAAAGACAAACTATGGTTAATGTAACTTTTGGGGCATTTTCTTAAAAATAAACAAATGAGTCTGTCATTTCAAGAAAAGCAACTAATAGTATATTTGTTACCAATTATAAATTCAAACTTTCAAGAAAAAATGAATTACGGATTATAATTAAAAATGCTTTCTATGTAACATGGGCAAGTTACTATTATTTTTTAAAGAATGCATAGATATTTTAAATCCTCAGTTTTAACTTCTAAAATTGTAAATATAATACATGCAACCTACAGAAACAAAAGTTTATTGGAATCTTCAATAATTCTTAAGAGTATAAAGAGGTCCTGAGATGAAAAGTTTTGAGAACCACAGCTCTATAGCAAATAAGAAAGGAACTTTTATTAATGCTTATTTGTGCCACATCATATGAGAAGTGCTTTATCTATTTTACTGATTTATATACATTACTCTCACAAAAACCCTCTCCAAGGTACTAACTGTTCTCCACAGCTGTTCCTAAGATCACTTTACTCCAGCTACAGTGGACACCTTTCTATTTCTTATCTATGTTCTTCAGGGCCTTTGTTCTTGCTGTTTTCACTGAGAGGAATGCCCTACCCCCAGATTTAGGCATGCTGATTCCTTCTCATCACACAAGTCTCAATGCAGACGTTTCTTCTTTAGAAAGGCCCTCCTGGACATCCTTTTAAACTAATTCCTAAGGTCGGCATGGTGGCTCATGCCTGTAGTCCCAGTACTAGTGCTGGGAGGCTGAGGAAGGAGAACTGTTTGAGGCCAGGAATTCAAGACTAGCCTGAAGAATAGCGAGCCCTGTCTCTACAAGAAATAAAAGCCTGGCATGGTGGCAAGTGCCTGTAGTCCCAGCTATTCAGGAGGCTAAGGTAGGAGGATTGCTGGAGCCCAGGGATTTGAGGCTGCAGTGAGCTATGATGACACCACTGCACTCTAGGCAGGGCAACAGAGTGAGACTCTGTCTTTAAAAAAGCAAAAAAACAAAAAATAATTTCTCCCACTCTATCTCAATCTATTATCAATAACATCAATATCCACAGTTATTTATATGTTTTCTACCTCTACTAGAATGTAAACTCCATAGAAAAGGACAACTTGTCTGTCTTGCTCATCACCAGAGATACAACATGTAGAATAGAGGCTAGCATGCAGAAAGTTATCTATAAATACATATTTTTAAAATGTATACTTTTCATCCATTCAATGTTACTTCATCACTGTTCTCTATTTTATAGTTCATGCTTTTTAGCTTTGGTGCCTGTACTCATTTTCACTCATTAAACGTCTGCTCCATAAGACAATGAATATACTAATTCTTCCCATCCTTCAAGGACTAGCACAAATGTCACCCTAACCAAGAAGCTGTTCAGCCAGCTGGAAGTAATTTCTCCAATACTAATATAGGGAACTCTCATAATAGCCAATATTTAACTCATTGTATTATGGCTATTTAAATATACATATATTGCCATGCTGTAATTATTTACATATAAAATCTTAACTTTTTAAATTAAAAAACAGTTCTCTAAAAGGAACCATTTACTGAAAATGTATTACAGGTTAGAATATTCCTTATCCAAAATTCTTAGGACCAGAAGTGGTTTTGATTTCAGAATTCTTTTTTTTTTTTTTTGATTCTGGAACATTTGCATTATACCACTTTGGCATCCCTAATCTGAAAATCTGAAATCTGAAATGCTCCAATAAGCATTTGAGCATCATGTTGGTGCTCAAATGGTTTTGGATTTTGGAGTATTTAAGATTTCAGATTTTTGAATTGTGGTATTTGAACTATTATATATGTGATAAATAAGCACTTTATAAATGTCCTATTAGATAGGTTGTATTCATAGACATACTCTATTTACTCTGGGGAAGCTTTCTGGAATTGGTACTATTCATAATCATCATAATATAGTTCCTATGGAGATGCTTATATTACCAGGACTCTTGCCTAAGAATGTGAAGTCTGTGTCATGCACAAAGGTATTTGATTTCGGGAGTTCGGAAGATGGGATGAAATCCATTCAAGGACCTCGGTGAAAGGGGTTTTTTCCTCATTCATAAGTCATTATTATTTACTCAGAAGGGCAAGTGACTTTTTTCTAACTTGGGAAAATGGGATACATTAAGCTAATCAGCTGCTGTTTCTTATCTATGATCAGCACAGAAGTGACATACAACTAAGAGTATATGGGCTGATGACTATCCTCTCTACATTCTTTAAAACTGGTTCTAATACGATTGATTAGCAAAATATTCATTTATGTTATCCTCTTCAGTTTATTGCCAAGACATCTCTGTTAGAGAATTAATGTGCTACCCACCTATCTAAATGTAATAAAAAATCAAGTTTATTAAGAAACCAGAAAGACATTTTAAGTAGCTACTGAAAGTAATCAAGATTGATGTGTCATAAAAAAGCTGTTTATTAATAGATTTTGGTACACATAGAGCATAACCTTCCCACCCCCTTAAAAGAGGCTTAAAACTAGCACACTAACACCTAGCCAGTACTAACCAATAAAGGAAGTCCCTGTTTGTTTATATTTGGGAAAAGAAACTATTTTCTAGGAATGAAAACACATCAACAAAAAAATAGAATATTAATGACAGAAAGAGAGTACAACTGATTGAGCAAACACAAAAGAGTTTCTTAACTGCCCTTTGAACCTAGAAAGAACAGTTTGAGGTTGGCTAATCAGATATAATGAATAAGCATTATATACGAGCAACGCATAAGTGAGATATACCTGTAACCACATTTTGTAAATGAAGCCTTTGCTTAACTGTCACTTTTATGGTTAATGCCTTTCCTGGCCACCATATTAAAATTATAACCCCCTTCCCCACCATTTTACGTCCTGAGTATCTGCTTTATTTTTCTCCATACCACATACTATATATTTTGCTTATTTATTTGTTTATCATCTGTTTATCCTACACCCAGCATTAAGGCTTGATGAGAGCAAGAATTTTGCTATATCCCCAGTACCTTGCAAAGTTCTTGGCATGTGGTAGAGGCTCAATAAATAAATGAGTGAATGACTGCAGGAGGAAGCTAAGATTCAAAGAGAATGAGTAGCTTGAATAAATGACACAGACAAGAAATGATAGAGCTGAGATTCTAACACAGAATCTCAGATAACACAAAACAAGCTCTTTACACACTTAACACACTGCATTTAACAGATGTTCCTAGTTTATCAACCTATTTCTCACCTATCTGCAGTCTCTACACCTGGATATCACACATCCTAAGTACTTAATAAGCATTTATTGTATTAATGGAACCAATTTTCTTTGACCTGCCACAGAAGCAAAAGAAATGCTTTTAGTTGCATTCACCTAAGGAGGAAAATGATAAAGTTTATGTCAAGAAAAGTACTATATATTAATAATATACCTAAAGTGGAAAAGCACTGAGAGGGAATCATAGCTTTTGGTTTTAGGTTCTAGTTCTGGCTCTGCCACAAATTCTGTGGCTGTGGACAACTAACTTAAATCTTTTTGGGCTTTGATGTCTTCATATTGCAAGTGAAAGGAAGAAGCTGGACAGCTATATATCACTAAAATTTCCTATCATGTTTA